CCTTCCGGCAGCTCAGGTAAAGGAGGTCCAATATGTTGAAGACACAGAATAAGGAAATGGAAAAGAAGCTTGAAGACCTGGATGTTTCCCTTTACAATTCCTCCTTCTCAGCTAGATACCCCCAGACATCTCTCCAACCCCCATCTGCTATCTTCTATAGGATTTGGGTCCCTAGAGCCCCTCTAGCAGCTCAGCTTCATCTGTCGCCAACCCTTTGATGGATCTAGTCAGGAGGACCAGAAACAGCACTGTAAGCAACCCAGAATCAGTATAACAACTGCACAACGCCTCTGTGCCCCATGCCTCAGTTTCCCTAAACAGAGATTCATAGGCTCTGTGGCCTTCTTCCAGGGCAGAGGATTGTCCAACTGCCTGAGAGTGGAGACCAGAGCATGGGATTAGAGAGGAAGGTCAGCAGCAGATATGTAAAGCCAGCCTAGGGCACATAAGGGTCCACACCAAATGAGCTACAAGAAAGGGAGACCCCTGCCCCACCTTGGGAACTAGCCCAACTCTGAGAAGAGTGGAGACACTAATTTCCCAGTGAGAAAATTGAGGCTCAGAAGCCACTGGAACTGGCTTCCACTTAAGGGGAGGAGGGTAAAGCACCAGGTCCCTAAAGATTCTGGGGGACTCAAAGCCTGGGCTTTGAGGGAGGCGCAGAACAGGTTAGACTAGTGCAGACTCTGAGGTTTTGGTGAGGGACAGAGGACCCTGTTTCCTAGGAAGGAACCTGGTGGAGCAGGCTCTGTCTGGGGTCTGCAGATAAAAGCAGTTGGTGGGGGGTGGGGGAGGACGGGATAGGGGGGTTTGGGGCTCAAGAGTCACCAGGGTCTCTGCCAGACAGTTCAAGTTGGGGAAAGCAGAAGCTCAACTCAAACCGTTCCCAGTTACCCACAGTCAGGGGCCCTGCTCCCCACCATGGTGCCACCCTGACCCCCTTCCCCAGCGCTGCTGGCTCGCCCCCGCTGGCACAGCAACACACATGCGGGAGGCACACGTGTGAGCACCAAGCCCCGCACCTCCCAGCTGGAACATGTGCGCCTGGCACCCCCACCGCGCACGTGGGTCCTTGCTTTGGACCACCCCCCCACACACACATTGTTGGCCCTCCGGAGAAGACTTGGAAGCTGGAACTTTGCTGGGGGGCTGCTGGTCCCCAGGAGCTTGCAGCCTCCTCCCCCAACCTCGCAGCAGCCCCGCCCAGCCCCCTCTGGCTGTCGCCCATAAAGAACTCTCCGTTGTCATGGAAATTAGTGACTGCTAAGCCCGAGGGTGGGGGCCTGGGGGCAGTTGGGAGGGGCTGTTGGCGTCTCTGGGAGCGGGGAGGGATGGCTCAGCCCTTGGCCCCTACCCTCATGGGGCACCACGATCTTCGAGGGTTAAGGTTTTCACAATTCGTAACCGCAAAGGCTTCCCCCGGGACCCCCCCCCCCCCCCCCCCCCCCCCGAGGTAAGCGGGACCCTCAACCCCCCCCCCCCCCCCCCCCCCCCCCCCATCTGCAGAGCCCGCGAGCTGTGCTCCCGCTGGGACCCCGAGCCCTCGCGCCACCCCCCTCCCCCGCACTCTGCGCTAGGAACCTCTAACCAGGAAAACAATCCCCCAAGGCCCCCCAACATGCATCCAGGAGACGCCCCCCAACCCGGGGCCCAACCTTCCCAGCTCCCGCACCTGCAGCTCTGGTTGGTCACAGAGAGGAAACGATCGCGGACTCAGCAGGGCGCCGAGGGCTCCGAGAGTGGCGGGTAGAATCCGCTTGGGGCACGCGGGGCAGACGCGGCGCCAGCTGCAGCCGCTTCAGCTCGCGAACCTCCAGCATCGCCAGCCGCTAGCCGGCGATGGATTCGCACCCCGGGCCGGGGGCGGGCTGGAGGCGGGGCCTCCTATCTGGGCCTGCCCCCACCTTGGGATCTCACTCGCGGGAGGGCACTAGCGGATTGGTGTCGAAGCTGGTGAGCCCCAACCATGCTCTCAACGATTCCCTTAAGACCTCGGACTTCCAGATCGACCCAGCAACAGAGGCCAGAGGGGCCATCCTGGGCCCAATGTAGGTGGTAGGGAGTGGGGAATTGGGGAAAAGCCTAAAAACCCTGGAGCTGCACGGAAGTCTCTTAGCTTTTAGTACTTGACCGTAGTCTCTGGGGGACGAGGGCTCCACCCAGTTCCCCAAACCCAATCCAAGGGGCGGGACCCACGTAGGAGAACCAACTGGGCAATTGCTAGAGCATTCTTCTACCTAGGAGCAGTAAACACTCAGGGGTGTGTGTATGTGCAAGTGATCAGAAGATAACACAACAAGGGCCCCAGGCCATCCTAACCCCAACTCCTGCAACACAGAAGTCTTTCCCAGATGTAACAGCCAGGGTTGCTGGCCCAGTCTGCTCCCTCTTGTATGGTGTTGAATTTTCCAACCGATAAAAGTCACCTATGACATGGTGTGTGCTCTGTTTTCTTCCCACTGTAATCACCCCCGAATGCTTCATGAGCAACCCCACCCCATGAGCTGGGACATGGGGTCACAGGAGAACTGTGGCACCAATGTACTCCACCAAGCCTGGACTTGGAAGGAGAAAGCTCAGAACTGCTAGGAAGAAGATTTGAAAGAAGTCCTTGACCTCATCTTCATCCTTTGTACATGGAACCAATATGTGCCCCCATTCCCCTCACAAGCACTGAGGACCATTCCAGTATCTAAAAGGCAGACTTAAGCCTTTCAATATCCAGTAAGCCATCTGGCCCTGACTTCAGGGGTGGGGGCAGAATGGGATTATCCCCAAATTCTTAGGCATGTTGAGTGAGGTTCTTCTGCATGGCTACCCATAGCTGATGACAGAAAAGACTAAGTGAAGAAATTGAGAATAGAACTAGAAAACTAGCCTGGGAAATGACTACCTCAACCAAGGCCACTCTGTCTTCCTCCAGATGGGGTATTGAGGAACCTTAACATCTTTCCTTAGCTTTGATTCACCTTCTGCAGGCCCCTCTGTGCTCCCTAAGTTCTGGGTGGTCGCTGTGATGACACACAACACTGCTGGGTGGGAATCTCCTGGCAAGCCAGGTATGTGCAGGGCAAAGACTATCATCTCAGTATGCTTAGCTAATGTTTGCAGAATGAATGAATGAATGGCTTGGCACTGAGTCCTTCTTGCCATCTGCCCACTATCCTTAAAATGATGGGACTCTGAGTTGTATGTGGTAGCCAAGTCATGAATTGCTGACCCCATGTGTCATACACATTTTCTGTCTTTCCCAAGGATCATAACTATCCAGGCATGGGACCAACAAGAAGCTGAAATGGGGGTTTATAGGCAGGGGAAGGGGTGGCTCTCTAGAGCTTTGCCTGATGCTGGCAGTACTCCACTTCTTCTTGGTCCTGTGCACACTCTGTATGCGTGTGGGTGAGAGCACGTGGCAGGGTGTATGCGCACACGTGTATATGTTGTGTTCTTTTATGCTCAGAGAGATGGCAACAGCACAGTGTGTGCAGTGGTGCCCAGGGTCACGTGTGTCTGTATTCTGTGTGCACTCAGGCGTGCTAGCTGGCATGTGTATATTAATGCTGTAGTTAGTCCCTAGAGATGTGGGTCCTTCTTTTTGCCTGACACAAGTCTCAGGATTGTGGAGGCTGAATCAAGCTATGGAAGCAGGATATAGGAAGGGGCTAGACCATTCCTGGGGGGTGGGCAAGGTCTGTGACATCCATAGATCATTGTTTCCAAGCTCCGCACTAGGGAAACCCCTTACTTTCAAGTATATGTGAGGGTAGATAAGTCTTTGTCATTTGTGGAAGGCAACCTGAAGACATGGCTTGTCCCTCAGCATCCAGCCAGGAAAAGTATGACCAACTTGAATGTTTCAACATGTAGCTGCCCTCTGGACAGGGGATACTAACACCACTGAATGTCATTCATTCAGCTCTGGGTCATGCACTGGGTCAAACCCAATCTTTTTTCCTATTTTCCTCTTCAGAGCTAGGCAGTATCAACAGACTTGGCTTCTAACTACCCACTAACAGGGATGATGAGAAGCCTTTCAGCATAGGACAGAGTTTGAGGCAAGAGCAGCGGTAGTTGGCACTGCATTGCCTCTGTGAGAACCCTCTTGAGAACTGTACTCTGGGCACCCTACAGGAAGGAGTTTCCTGAAGTGGGAGGCTAGGGAAAAGAAGGGAGTCCAAAATTTATAGTTCTAGCTTTTACCAAAGCTAGCAAATCAGAGGGGCAGGAGAAGACATGAGTCTCAGAATCTACAGAGCCTACAGTGCAGATCAGTGCTACTCTCCCCATCTCAGGTTGTGCCTCCCATCTAGGATCCAGGACTTATTGGCCCTCTCTACTTCCTACCCTGTGTTTGAAAGGCCAGTACTCCCAGGCCCTCATTCTCTGACTGGCCAAACACAGCACAGAACTCCAGCCAAGGTTCAGACTCTAGGAGGGTACCTGTGTTACCAGGCCAGCTCCTCTGAGAAGCCCAGACTGACCCTGACAAGGTCCCTCCCTTTAGGGTCAATGCCATATCCTCAGCCATCTTTAGAACTGCCCAGCTATTGTCCATGTTGCTGTCTTTAGCACCCAGAAGAGGGTCCAAGATGTGGGAGGGCAAGCAGTCTTTCCTTCTAGAGCTAGGGGAGGGGGCTGACCCCCATCCCCCACCTCATGACTCACACCAGGCTGTGTGGGTTATTACATTATGTTTGAAATTGCCATGGCAACTAGCTGGCAATCAAGGATAATTACACTTGTCGTCAGAGCAACAGGGCAAAACCCACAGCAGCCACTCTCTGTGGTTGCCCTTGGGGTACAGTAAAGGTCAGGCCAGATCACAGCCAATGCCAGCCAAGGGGCCTCAGATCCAGAAAGGGCAGGTTGCCACAGCCCATGGAGTATCAGAATGCAGGCCTCCATTCCTGATTCTGTGCCTGAACTCCTTTTCCCCCCACACGACACTATGCCTGAAACATGCAACATTGCTTAAAGCAAGCAGAACCAGAACTTTATGTTCACAGCTGGTACTTGTAGATAGCCCATGGGCCTTCCTCCTCGTACTCACGGCGGCTGAGCCACAAGCTCTGGAAGGAGTCCCGGCATGCCATGATGGAACCCCCAAGCCAGGCAGCAACTGCACGGTGGGGAGAGCCCAGCACAGTGGCACCAGGGCCTAGCTCCTGTCTTAAGCGCTCAGGGAAGCCACTCACCAGGGTGCTGCCACCATCCAGCACCACATTGGCCAGCAGTTGCTTCTGCTGCTTGGCCTCTAGTCGGCTGATGCTTAGCAGGGCCAGCTGTGGAAGTCCTGGCTGGTTGACACCTAGCAGGTTGGGCTGGAAGAGAGCCTCAGGGCAACAGAAGCGCTCAGAGCCCAGTGTGACAATCTGCTTATCTGGGAGTACAAAATCCACTTGGGCTTGGGTCTGGGTGCGGGCCATCTCAGCCGCCATGTCCATAGCCACATAGCAGCAGGACTCTTTAATTTGGTTGACGAACCCTGCCTTAAGTGGTGAACGGCCACCTGCCAGCAGCAGCTGAGCCAAGTAGTCAGTAAGGTCAGCACCAGCCACATCCAGGCGGTAGGTGTCAAGTGGCGCCAGATCCCCAGTGAGGATGGGTGCCACGTAGGAGGTGCCATGGCCACTGCCCAGCACCAACCCAGTGGTACGCCCATAAGCATAGAGTGCCAGCAGGGCCTGATGCACTGTCTGCATGGCTGGCACATGGAAACGTTCAAAGAGTATTTCTGCCACCTTTTCTCGGTTAGTACGTGGTGAGATGGGGGAGTCAGCCACAAGCACAGCCAACTCCTCAGGCTGTACCCCCAGCCTGCAATAGAACAGGTGCTGCCACAGCACCTCTAGTGCATCCCAATCAGAGACCACACCCCGATTCAGTACAGGATAGGAGCCTTCCTGGTTTTCCGGCACTGCATACCGGGGCTGGCCCTGGGCTGGATGTTGCAGCAGCTGAACTTGTGAGGGTACCACATTGAGGACATGGTCCTCACCAGCCAAACCACATTTGGTGAATCCTGTGCCTGTATCAATCACTACAGCTGCCATGTTCTGGTAGGGGCTTGAAGAGTGACGGCAGAGAACTGGTGACCGCCCTGACAGAGCATCCATGGTAGACACCAGCTCATAGCAGGCCCCACGGAGCAGGCCAAGATGCGTGACCACTGATGAATGTGTAATGTCCTCAGCTGTCAGCTTGAAATGGTTCCCACTCTGAGATTCAGTGTCCACCATGGCCATGGGCAAGACTTTGCAGCCAGTGCCAGGTGTGGTAAATGCAACCAGAGAAAGATGTTCTTCCTGGGCCCTGGGGGAGCTACCAGGTTGCCAGGATGAGAGCTGATGCATACTAGGGCTTTGAGCACTACCAATACCGACCATCTCTCTATTCCTATAGCTACAGGTCTCTTCTGGGGCCAAGGGCACTCGAAGTACCTCTACATGGGCAGGCAGATCCAAGGGTTCATTTTCCTGGGTGGAAACCTGGCAAGGCTCTCCAGAGGTGAGGGGCCCTCTTGGCAGGGTGGGATCTTTGGTGGTGGTAGAGGGGGGCATCCTGGTGAAGGGTACTTGCCCAGGGAGAGAAAGCTGATTGGTAAGAGTGGTCTGCCCAGTGAAAGGAAGCTGACCAGTTTCAGGGAGTTGCTTAGTACAGGGAGGCTGACCAGGTGGAGAACCCTGTTCAGCTATGGGTAGCTGCCTAGCAAGGAGGTTCTGCCCACTGAGGAAACTCTGACCAGTGAGGGGGACCTGCCCAGCATCTTTGGTCTGAGGATTATCAGGGTGAGCAGTAATGACTTCTTTCTCATTACGTCTTCCTACCTCCTCTTGGAATAGAGATTTGGGCATCACCTGCATATTGACAGATGAAGCAGGCTCTGAGTTCATCCACTGCAGTTTCTTGGGCTGGGTCACAGAGGTATCTGGGATCCTGGAGGACTCTAGCATCCAGATGGTATGACTAGGTTCATTTTTAGGTTCATTTTTTTCAGCATCAGGTTTGGACCAACCAGGATCAGGTACATGGGGCCGAATCCTCTCACCAAATTGGAGGGGTGTCTCCAGTGGAACAGGCCCAGTGAATATCCCAACCCTCATGGGTGTTTCAATTCCAGGGGAATCCCGTGACTCCAGGTTGTGCCTGGCCTCCTTGGGAACCAGGGCCACCTCTCGGTAGCTGGCAGATGAGAGGCTGGAGGGTACAGGGCTGGACAGCATGGGTGTGGTGGACCAGAAGCTGGAATGATTGCTGGCAGGGGACACGTTGGGCCTGACCAATGACCGGGTAGATAGTATATTTTCAGGAGAATAGAGAGATGGGTGGCTGGGCACAAGGCCCACCAACACTGCTCGTGAGCCCATAGGGTCATGGCACAGCAGCCCTACCCTGGTGTTGCCCGTGGCCATATCAAACACCAGCACTTGGTCTTCCACAGCTTCCTGGAGCTTACAGGCTGGGGTACTGGAAGCAGGAATTTGCATGGCTTCCCTGGGAAGCTGGGGTGTGGACTGCTTGTGGCAGGTTACTTGGTATGAAGACTGTGGCACACTGGAGTAGTTGTTGCAGACATTGGGGGGCTGCTTGTCAGGTTGAGAGCTGCTTACATCCTGGTTTCTCTTCTGGAACTTGGGAGTAGATGGAGGCTCTGGACATGGATTTGGGCTGCCTGGCTTGGGGGGATAGACTATGGGCTTCTCCACTGGGTTTTCAGGTTGCTCAGGTGGCACCTGCCTTCCAGTAATCTTGTGCTCCTGGGCATGGTCTGGGAACACTTCTGAAGCAGGTGCTGCAGTAGGAAGCTCCTCTTTAGGTTGGACTTTTTCCTGGCAGGATGGGGCAGTTTTAGAAGATTCCAAGAGGATTGACCACTGGTTGCCACATCTCCTGAGGAGGAGGTCTTGAGATAGGTCTTTGGTGACTGGAATGGTGTCAGTCAAGTGATCAAGGGTATAGGTATAAGGTTCAGCTGCTGCAGGCTTTGGGGTTGCATCCAGAGCTGGATTTGTAGCCTGAGCTGGAGTTGAAGGAGTCAGTGACGGCAAAGAAGAAGTTTTAACCGGGGCAGGAGCCTGAACCAAACATGAGCTCTTTCCTGGGCCCTGATCTTGGGCTGGAGCCTGTGCTGGAGCCTGTGATGGAGTCTGTGCTGGAGCTTGTGCTGGAGCCTGTGCTGGAGACTGTGCTGGAGCCAGTGCTGGATCCAGAAGAGAAGCTTGGTCTTCAACTGTACCATCCTTTGCTGAGAGAAAGTAGGGTAGCCATCGACTCTTCCTGGTGCCCAAGGGGGCCATCTGCTCTGTGTTGCAAGAGCCTTTGCCCCAGCCTATCAGGACTTTAGCTGGAGCCTTGCCCTCCCTCCCAACCTGCACCTGAAGCTGGGAACGGTGGGATGCGCACCGGGTAATGTCACTGTTGTTGTTAACGCGTGTGCACGCTGGTAGGTTCAGGGTCCCGTCGTCCATGACAAGATGCTGTTGGGCTGCTACAATGGGACTTGAATATGGGCCAGTAGAGGAGAGTCTCAGAGCATCCTGAGAGGTCTGCATATAGCGGCACCTGGAGCTAACCTGAGCAGGGTCCTGGAGTTGCTGGTGAGTGGGCTCAGGGATGTGGGCCTGGGAGGCTGGGCCACAAGCTGCATCAGTGGTGGCCTCAGAGGAAAATGACAACCCCTGCTTGAAGTATAGGGATCCTGAGTTTATCCATGGTCCCTGGGACCCTCTGAGGCCACCCCTCAGCTGCTGGTTGCAGGCCGAGGGGTGGCCTTGGGGGCCCGATGGATCAGGGCCCCCCACCTTCTTGGTGGCTTCCATAGTCCTGCTCCATGCCCTAGGAGCCCTGCCCCCACTTCATTGTCATGGCAACCCCACACATCACAGCCCCCAGTGACCTGGGAGGTGACAGTGTGGGAAGTCAGGGGCCCCACCCCTTGAGGAATGGGAGGTCTGCCCTAGGGACCTTGGAAGGCAGAGAAACCCAGAGATCTCAGTGAAGTTGGCCAACTATAGGCCAGCCTCCTCTCCCCTTACCAGTGAGTGACCACTCTGCCCAAGCCAACTCCAGAATGAAGGCAGTACCTCAGAGGGGGCAAGTGTAAAACCAGAAGAGAAAGGTAGGCAGGGAGACTCTAAGGAAGCCTCTGGCTCTGGGTCTTTTGGGGCGGTTGGCAAAGCCCCTTCACCACTTAGTGCTGGGAGACAGAAGAGGGTAAGGGGTCCAGGCTTAAGCCCAAACTCCCCTTCTATATATTCCCCAGCTCCTGCTCCAGGGACAACAGCTCCTTGGCAGTCTCTGATGCTCCAGATGGTTCTCCTCTGCCAGTGCCTCACAGAGCCCCCTCCCCAGAGCCACATGTCCCTGAAGCTCAGGACTAGTATCCCACTGGGGTGAAGATGGGGGTGGCAAGGGTAATGGTAGAGACTCTGCTCAGAATCCTCAAGCCAGAATGTTCTAGTTCTTGTCACATTGTGTCAGCTTCACCTTGCCCATAAAGGGGGCAGAGCACAGGGCACAGGGCTAGGCCACAGGGCCAGCCAAGTGGCAAATATATGATAGGGTGTGGTAGGGACACAGTCAGCACAGGGCTGGCCACACTGTAGGGAGGTCTCAAATGCTGGACTAAGCACATAGTGGACACAGAGCTATGTGTACAGTAAGGACAAATTGAATATGGGCCTGGACATGGAGTATAAGAAATACAAACTATAGACCAGTTTCACCTTCTACTTCTTAGGTGGGGAAAAAATAAGGGAGGAGTGAGATGCTGGTCCTGGGCTTCAGGGACATGTGGCTTGAGAGAGGGATCTATGAGGTCCCCAGGCCCAGAGCTGCCCTGCAGCCACAGGAGACAAGCCTAGGGTTGTAGTTTAGAGAGCCAGCCACCAATTTCCATAAGCCTGGGTCTGGAAGTTCTGACCTGGGCCAGGGGCAGGCCCTTCTTCCTCCACCAATCAGTCCTGAATTCTCTGTTTTCCAGGGCTGTGTCCCTTTAGGCCTCAGTCTTTCCACCCAAGAAACAGGTTTGTGGAGAATGCAGCTGTAGGTTCATCCTCTGAAACAGTTTGTTTTCACAAAGGTTAAAAATAGTATTTACAGTTGGCCATGGGGTGTGAGGCTATGTGACTAGGGATCCAGGCCAGCACTACTGCATCCGCAATACTACATCTGCACCTGACAATGGGCAAAGCCTGACTCAGCCACATCTCATGACCCCTGGGCCCCCTCCACCTTCCCCTTCCCTGGATGAAAACTTCAGTTAAGGCAGATGGTTCTGACACAGAGGAGCTGAAATGCTTATCTTCATGCTATGGTCCAGAAAGGTAGCAGAAACCTAAGGGTCTATGAACTGTGCATGTGTGTGCATGCACTTGTGCACATGTATACTTGTAGAATATTATAGCTTCATTAATCTCTGAGAGCAAGAGTTGTCTTTTTGTGATACAGGTGCTAGTAGTTGCCTAGAATGCCTGTGCAGCATCAGGGCTGGGCTGTGCCTGGGAGGGCTGAGGAAGTACAGAGTGATGCCCCAAGAGACCCCTGTCATTCTGATTCCTGAACCATCCCCTACCATCTCCTACCTCTACAACGTAAGGCATAACCCTCGTTTTCAGGGCTGGAGTCCTTTATGAGTAATGGCCTGAGGTCTTCTGGAGGAAAAGAACAGAGCCAATTGAAGGTTCTGGTCCAAAAGGGAAGGCCCAAATGAGGGAGGCAAAAGAGACAAGATGCTACCTGGGAAGCAAATACAGCTTATAACAATCATAATGACTGACACTGTCACTGGAAGCTGAGACAGGGACCCTGCCTCAATCCTGCCTGTCCAGATTCAGCTGCTTACCCCTGTAAGAAATAAGCAGACAATACAAAAAGGAAAATGGAATTTTATGCAGTTTGATTGATCAGATCCTCCTTCTGTGCCAGTGCAAAGCAGAGAACACGTAACCCAGCCTTGCAGTAATTCAATGAGCCGGGCACTATTGTACCTTTATTATAGATAAGGAAATCAATGACCAGAAAGGAGAGAGAGGCCTATTCTTACTATGGTAAAGCCAGAATCTGCAGCTAGGCCATGAGGCTCAAGACCCATACTACAGAAACCTATGGTGCAATGACTGAGTGCCATGCCAAAGCCACAGAGACATGGGTCCTGCTTACATGCCTTCCTTCTGGGTGTTACAGCCCCAAGCCGTGTCTTCCATGGACTTTCTCCTCCAGATAACTTAGCAGGTAGCTCAGGTGTTGAAGGGGTATATTCCTTGTTGGTGCCACTAAGCCAGCACCCTCCCAGGAACCTTGTGGTACTGAGTACAGGCCAGGTGTACATCCCTTTGGGCCAGGCTGAGTCCTTGTACTTTTCTTGGCTGGAAAAAACCCATTCCCATCTCATCCAGCTGAGGGGAGGAGCAGCAGGCAGGTAGAGAGATTCTTAGTCTAGGCCCTTTCTTCCCAGACCCTGGAGAAGGTACCCCTGTACCTTCCCCCCACACTTGTTTTTAAATAGTCTCTCACCAGGAAGAAGGGCTTCCAATTCTATTTCTGATTCTGGGAAGTGATGAGGGCCATGTGTTGCCATGGCAACCTAGAACCCCTCCCCCAGGATGAGCCCATTCCCCAGACTGAGGGCTGTAGGGTGAAGAGCGGGTAGCAAAAGGAGCTGGAAGGAGCTCAGTCTGAGGGGAAGATAGGATGGAGTCTCTCCTGTGAGGGGAGTACTGGCATTGCCTTCCTCCTTCCACTTCATCTATCCCTCCTGACAGGCTTGGGGGAAGGCCCCAACCCCTAGAGAGAGAGTTAAGTCCCTATAGAAAACCATTCTATCCTATAGATCAAGCTGAAATCTTGTCACCTAGAAGGCCTTGGGGATGGTGAAGAGGCAGCAGGAAGGGCATCAAGGACGAAGCACAGCCAGGCACAGTGGCACATGCCTCTAATCCCAGCTTCTCAGGAAGGAAGATCGCAAGTTGGAGAGCAGACTGGGCAACTTAGCAAGATTCTCCAAAATCAAACAAACAAACAAACAAAAAAAGAGGCTCAGGGATGTAGCTTAGTGGTAGAATACTTGCCTCATACAAGTGAGGACCTGGGTTCAATCTGGGTTGGGAACAGATTATTATTTCTACCAGAGAACACGTAACCCAGCCTTGCAGTAATTCAATGAGCCCAGAACTATTGTACCTTTATTACAGATAAGGAAATCAATGACCAAAAAGGAGAGAGAGGCCTTTCTTACTATAGTAAAGCCAGAATCTGTAGCTAGGCTATGAGGCTGTAGACCCATACTACAGAAACCTTTGGTGCAATGACTGAGTGCCATGCCAAAGTCACAGAGACATGGGTCTTGCTGGAGGGGAGATTACATGCCTTCCTTTTGGGTGCTACAGCCCCAAGCCCCACATCCAAGCTGTGTCTACCATGGACCCTCCTCCTCCAGATAACTTAACAGGTAGCTAAGTTATGGCCTACTGGATCAACAAGGCTTGTTTCACCAACATAGACCTGTTTCTGGCTCCCAGGAGGAAGCTAGCTCTATTAAGTTTCCTGTTCTGCACTTTTACTGTCCACCTCCCTTTCATTCTCTGTGTCCTGAGAAGACTCTGGACATTAGGATCAAAAGGAATCTTCAAGGGTTCCAGTGTAGTTATCCTGTTGATAATGGATCAGAAAATAAGACCTGTTTCTCCAGAGGTTCATCAGGGCTTATACACTAGCCCTTCTGCTCCTGAGGAGGGAAGCATTCCAGTTAAGAGCACAACCTAGATCCAACCCTTTCTCAATACTCAGGAAACTGAGGCCCAGCACTGTGTGCCTTCCTCTCCTGATCCCCCTCCCAGAAGCTACCCAGGAGCCCTAGATCTCCTGCTTCCCTGAAGTTTCCCCTGGTCATGATATACCCATTCCATGGAGGTAAAACTATTTTATAAAGGAGGTGGCTCCTCTTGCTCCCATGCCTCTCTTCCTGACCCAGAGGATGATAGCTAAAGACAAAGAATCCCATCATCCCTAGGGGAACCTATGGCAGGGTGAAGGGAAATAATCCACTCCTAATCTGTGATGTAGAAGGCAGAACCTACTAGTGCCAGGAGGATACAGCTTCTGAGCTCTAAGGCACAGGCAAATTTAAATAACAGATGTTTAAACAACCTTCCTTGCAAGCCGTCAGTGCAGTGACCCCTCTGCTGTGATGTGTTGCAGCTTAAAAATAGCCTACAATGAACCGCTCTGAGCCCCAATTGACTCAAGCTTACGTAACTCTGCATGAAAGATGGCCAGCTGCACCAGTCCAGAGGGAGGGCAACAGCTCAGCCTCCTTGATTGGCTAGGTAAGTTCCTTACCCCCTTGGGAGCGGCCCCCCAACAAAGAGGAGATGAAGAAGTACTGCTAGAAGCACACATTTGCTTCATGACTGCTGGGAAGAGACCTCCAACAACATCTGCAGAGGGAATGTGAGAGGAACTACTCTCCTTCAGGAACCATACAGAACCCAGGCTGGATAGAGAGTATAGGAAAGATGAATGTGTCAGAGAGATCGGGGTACAAGTTCATGTTGGCAGGTGATTACAGCTGAGCAAAAATATTTGTTTTCCCCTTTGAAGAGAAGGCTCCCTGACTTGGAGGTACTTGTCAGCAGGACACATGCTTGGCTGAATCTGTCACTGCTATGGAGCCCAGGGGTGGAATCAACCTCTTTGGACCCTCTAATTCTCCATGTCCAACATCCCAGGAGCGACCCATGAGGGAGGGGGCACTGTCTTCAAAGCTGATAGGATCCTGTGATCCTGGCCACCAGCTGCTTCAGACCCCATTCCCTCTGCCACCTTTCCTGACACATCTCAGATCTCAAATGCCCAGACAACGACAGTCTACAAGAGTGTGCAGGTGGCTAAACCAATCTGAAAGGGAGCAGAGAAGAGAGGTAAGGGTGCCCCTGGCATAGGGAGCTCTGGTGCTCACTGATCCTCCTGCCTCTGCCCATGCTGAGCCCTACCAAGGAGTCATCAGCTTCCTTCAACTACTTCCAGTTGAGTTTAAAACAGGACCAGTGCTGGGCATGGTGTCACAGGCCTGTAATCCCAGTGGCTTGGGAGGCTGAGACAGGAGAATCAAAAGTTCAAAGCCAGCCTCAGAAACTGTGAGGCATTAAGCAACTCAGTGAGACCTTTTCTCTAAATAAAATACAAAATAGGGCTGGGGATGTGGCTCAATGGTACCCCTGAGTTCAATCCCCAGTAAAACAAAACAAAAACAGGACCAGTCCACAGAACAATGGTGAGAATGGGCTTGGAGTGGGGCTGTACCTGGCCTCAATTGTGACTCCCAGAGAACCTTTGGGACCCTGGGGAAATTCCCTGACATACTAGGGCTGAGACATATGGGTATCTCTGGCCAGACTAATGGTTCTCCACCAAAGCAGGTCAGTCTATCCTGTGTATACAACTCTAGGTGCCAGATGACAGTAACACAGATGTTACAGTAACACAGATGTTACTGCTTTTTCCTCAGTCCCGTAGCCCCACTAGACTGCTAAGGAGGGAGATGAGGCAGAGGGCCCGTACTAGCTCTTGGTGGAAAGTCTGGATTCTAGAGCCTTGGGAAAAACAACTTCTTACCAAATCCTCACCTATTGGCAAGCCTAGGGCCACCTGCTATACTGGAACCACTATTCAAGCCTTCCCCAGGGGAGAGGCAGCCCAACCTATCCCAGACTTGGAGGACACTCAGAAGCCTCCTGGTCCCCCTAGCCCATCTGAGGGCCTAGAGTTGACCCTCTCTACCTGTCCTCCCTGTCACCAATAGCCAAGTCATCAATTTGAAACCCTAAAATAGTTCTTAGCTCACAACATTCTGGATGCACTTGCAACTATCAGGTGACCCTAAAAATGGAGTTCTGAGCTTAGGGGCTGCAGAAGTTTGGAGTGGGGCAGCTGTGCTATAATTTTGTACCATAAGTGGGGCTGGGGATATAGCTCAGTTTGTAGAGTGCTTGCTTTGCATGCACAAGGCCCTGGGTTCAATCCCCAGCACCAAAAAATTTTAAAAAAATAAAAAAATAATAATCTTGTACCATAAGTACCTATTTAACTGGAGCCCCTCCCTGGAGCCAGAATTAGACCCAGAAACAGACCTAAATCCCCACATTAAGGCTGTGTAAAAAATATCACACCCCTTAAGCTCTCTTTCTCCTTTCTTGTCTAGGTCCCCTTTCCATGCGAAGCTCCCCTCCTGGCCAGAGACCCCTTCTTCTCTGAGTCCCTGTCTTCTGAGTAGTGGGGAAGGAGCCCCTGGGCCTTCTCCTCACTGCCTCCCTGCCTCACAACTGAGGGCTTAGAGTTTTGAGTGACTCTTAGATCCTCAGGATGGATTAAGAAGTAAGGACTGGGGGCTGATATACCCATTCCATGGAGGTAAAACTATTTTGTAAAGGAGGTGGCTCCTCTTGCTCCCATGCCTCTCTGCCTGACCCAGAGGATGATAGCCAAGGACAAAGAATCCTAAGAGACTACTAAATGGACTAAGGGGGTGAGTTGAGTACACAAGCATGCAGCAGCTAGTGTACCACTGAGCTCAGTGGTAGAGTGCTCGCCCAGCACATGCGAGGTGCTGGGTTTGATCCTCAGCACCCCATAACAATAAATAAATAAATAAAATAAAGGTATTGTGTCCAACTTCAACTAAAAAAAAATTATATATATATATATATATATATATATATATA